CCCGCGGGGTGGGCAGGGGGCGGCCGGTCCTCCGGCGGGCTCCCTGCCGCCTCTCCCCCTCCGGGTAACGCAGCCCCCGCTCCCCGCCGAGGCCCCGGCTGTGGTTTGGGGTGCGCCCCCCGCTCCTCTGAGCCCCCGGGGGCGGGGGGGGATTTAGGAGGAGGGGAGGGCAGCAGGGCGCACGGCCGGGGATGCTCCCGAGAAGGTCCCTAGGCTCTTCGCTTTGTGGAGGCAAGAATCAGCGGAGAGATGGTTGAAAGGAGGAAAAGAAATTGGTTTATTTTGTTTTGTTTTCTCGTGCGCGCGAGTGTATGTCGATTTTCTATTTTAAATTCAAATTAAAAAAAAAAAAACAACCAACCAAACAAACAAACCACAACTTTTAAAGCAGCCGTTTTCGTCATTGTATGCCTTCTGCTGGGACAGAAAGTTCCTTAAGGCTGATCGTGCACTTGGTTTTCCTGCAGCGGATCCCAAATATTGTCATCCCAATCAGATCTACTCACCCCCGACCGACTCCAGGTGAGACCCTTGCTGGGTTCCCGTCCCTGCCAAGCCAGGGCGCGGGCCGCTGGTCGCACGGTTGTCTTCAACTCCGTTTCATCGGCTCCACCAAACTACACTATATTGATCAAGCACATGAGACACAGAGAAAAAAAACGGGACGGGCAGATGGTACCAACGAGTAGATTACTCCAAGGCAGTGATTTAAGTAAGTTGCTCACCGGTGCTCTTTTACACGTATCATATACGCATCCTCCCGCAAATAAAAAAGCGGGGGATTTAACTAAAGTCTTGAGGACTGAAAAAAAATTGCTCGCTAAAACGATTCAAAAGGACACGCAAATTTGTCACGAAAGTTCCGACTTCTAAACCCAGAACAGAATCCGAGGGGCATTTAATACGCAGGCTTCTGCCAAGAGACGTGCTGCTGGAAAGCCTACCCCCGGACAGGCACAGGTTTGTTACATTCCTGATCCTTCTCAACTTAATTAATTAATTTATACGGAGAGAGTATTATCGGGGTCACCTTTCACAGTCAGTGAAGCGGACAACACAAAATAGTGCCTTACCGCTTTGAAATGAGCAAGAACCAACTGCGGTTTGCCCTTTTATTGCTTGAATTTGCTAATATATAGGATATACAGATAGAACAGAATATATATATATGTTCTGTCTCAAACAGGACGTGTATTTAAAAGCGCCTGGAGCGTTTGGCAGAGGGCTGAGGAACTCAGTGTGGCCCACAGTGGTTGAGGGGGGGGCCGGTCTTGTCTGAGGCTTTGCCTGAGGGCGAGGGGGGCAGACGAAGAGCCCAGCCAGCCCCGGCGGCCGGGGGAGCAGGAGACCCTGCAGCGGCGAGGTGGGCTCACGGAGCATCGCCTCTGGCCTCAGGGAAAACGAAGGCGAAAGATTCTCCCGACATCAGTCCCAAGAAAACAAACAAAACAAGGAGTCCCCACATCGCTTTACGCCGAGGGTGATCCCTCCTTTTAACAGCGCGGTTTCCCTGCGGGACAGCCCCTGCTCCTGGGGCCGCTGCCGGCGTGCGAGGGGCGGCGGCGGCGGGACGGGAGGTCCCGGGGGCCCGGCCCTGCGCTCCCTTGGCCCGGCCTGAAAAGCAGGGTCCGGCCTGACTGAAAAGACAAAGGAGGATACAGACAGCCTGGGGAATTATTCTCGTCACCCTTCCCGTGGCGGTGGTTGTGATGCCTAATTCCCCTTCGGTTTCCCACCTCCTCTATGCGCCGCGCAAATAAGGGTGAGAAAAAAGCCAAGCCCCTGTCAAAGTAACAGCGCAGATCCTGAAAAAAAAAAAAAAAGAAAAAAAAAACACACCAAAGAAACAAACAGACAAACACAAAACCAAAGAAACTTTCCCTGTCCCCCTGCTTATCTCCGACCCCGAGCAGCCAGGTCGTAACATACCTGTCCCTCGCAGGGGCTGCTCCCGGCGTGCCCGGCCCGTCGGGGCTCAGGGGAGGGGGGCGGCGGGTGGCGGTGAATATTTCGGTGCTGCCCGCGCCTGGCTGGAAAACACCGACGTGGGGGGATCGGTTCAGCCTCGGGAGATGCAGCAGCGCCCGGACCCTTTTCTGCTTTTCCTCATCGCGGGATTTCCAGCCCCGCGGGGTGACCGGTCACTGCCTTTGGCTGTGGGGCGATGGACTCGGGCCCGGCCGGGGGTGG